CGGGATGGGGAGAGGAGTGCGCTTGGGAGCCGCGGAGGGGGTTATCTCGGAGACCTCCCCCGCCGTAGGGCCGGGTCTGTTCCCCTCAGGCCCTTGTGAGTGGGGGGGGGCTCCCCGGAAAGCAGCGATTCCAGGGCCCGCACTGACTGCCCGGCGAGAAACCCGGTAAGGTGCAAAGCACAAATAAATATCAGCAACGTGAGGGGAGCTGAAGAGGTTATTGAGGCTTGCTTTTGCTAGAAAGCTCCTCATTATGCTGACTGAGTGCTTGGTGGGCTTTTTTTGGCACAGAGGAAGGTAGTTACTTATTTGGGTACCTATAGCTTTTTCTTGGTGTATTGATTCCATCAAATGTTTTCTTCTTTTTCAGCAATTAGAACTAATCACACCCTTTCAGCTGTATTTCAACCCTGAATTAATATTTAAAAACTTCCAAGTAAGTGGTTTCTAAAGTATGGGAGGTTTTTAAGTAAACCGTTGAGTTTGGAAGTGCTTGTCCTCTCAAAATGGAGTCTTGCAAATGCCTATAACTTTTCATATTGGAATTACATCTTAAGCTAATGAAGCTAGAGTGCGGATCATTGTATCTTAGCTCAGGTCTTCGATTCATTGACTGTAAAGGACATTTCAGTTATGTTACTTGCTTTTCTATTTACAGTCAATAAAAATAAGTTGTCATGTTTAAAATCCTTGTATTTGTCTTATTTTTCAGGTATGGAGGTTAATCACAAACTACTTATTCTTTGGACCAGTTGGCTTTAATTTTTTATTTAACATGATCTTTTTGTATCCTTCATCAAGTTTGGGTTTTTTTCCTTGGAAAGCAGAGCTCCAGAGTACAGGCATGTTGCTATACTTCCATATAGGCAAAGGTTCAGTTCTGCTCCACTGTGAAGTTCCTGGGAGTTTAGCAATGTCAACTTCACTGATGTCATGAATGGACATCAACTGCATCTCCTTCATAAGCTGTCAAGAATTTTGCCATTTATTTTCGTGGTGTTAAGACTTCATTTTACAAGCCTGATCCGTCAGGTTGGTTCTCATGTACAGGAGAAAATGCCTGTAACTTTTTTCTCCTGGGTCACCCTCTCTGCTGAGGTATCCAGAAAGAGATGATTGATGAAGTAAATTGATAAAAAACCTTACATCTAAGCTCAGGTATAATTGAATCCTTTTCCGCTTGGATCTTTCTTTCAACTCATTTGCAATCAAATTTTCCTGACCTGTGACTTCAGATATCGTTACTGCCGAATGCTTGAAGAAGGATCTTTTCGGGGTCGGACGGCAGACTTTGTATTTATGTTCCTTTTTGGAGGACTTTTAATGACTGTATCCTTTTTTTTTATATAATCCAGATGGCTTTAGTAAAGCTAAAGATATGTGAATGAGAACTGAAACTGTGATGTTACTTTTAATTCATAGATGATAATAGATTTTGTTTGTACTATGAGGATAACGGTATTTGTTAAAGTAGTTTTGAATGCTTTGTGACTGTGGCTATTAAATACTGGGCTGGTCTTTCAGGCTTTTTACTGCTTGACAGGATTATGGAAATGAGATTATCAGATACAAGGGGACTGCTCAGGTGTGTAAATCATGCTCAGATTGTTCCAAGAGAAATGCTGGTGCTTCTGTGATTTCACACTAAATTATAAAGAGGTTATTCATGCCACAGCTCCCCTGAATCTTGCTCCAGGTGTTGAATTTGCTTGGCAGCAGGTTTAATTTACTTGAGCTTGGGAAAGTAGAGATAGAAATTGTATGAAAAACACAGGATTACAGGTCAAGCTGTAGACTTCTCATGCTTGACCTCACCACAATTATTTGGTGAACTGTTTTCTTTAACTACCCATCACAGCTTTTTGGCCTGTTTGTGAACTTGGTTTTCTTGGGTCAGGCATTCACAATAATGCTCGTGTACGTATGGAGCCGCAGGAATCCCTATGTCCGCATGAACTTTTTTGGTCTTCTTATTTTTCAAGCCCCATTTCTACCCTGGGTATTGATGGGCTTTTCGCTACTTTTGGGAAACTCCATCATTGTGGATCTCCTCGGTAAGGAATTGCGAGAATCACAAGGACCTGT